CAGCAACGCCCAGCGAATATCCAAACTGCTTGGCCTCAACAATGGGCTGCCTATCCTCCGTGGACCTAGACTCCTCAAAATTAGGCCTCTCCTCCTTGCCCACATCCCACTACACAATGGCAGGCCCGTCCTCCTCCTTCTGGCAGACAAGGAATTCTTGGGCCGCATCCTCCTCAAGCCCACTATGCAGCAAGCCCAGCTCCCCCAACGAGCTATGCACCTACGGATATTGAAGCCGCCATGCACACTCTTGCTCTTAATCCTCCGGATGATAATTGGTACATGGATACCGGTGCCACCTCTCATATGACTGCAAACCAAGGTACTCTCTCGTCTTATTTTAATTTGAGCAAAAATGATGGTATTATTGTTGGCAATGGTCACACTACTCCAATTCTTGGTTATGGAAATGCCTCACTAACCCAGACGAAACCTCCCCTCACCCTTCACAATGTGTTGCATGCTCCTAAACTTATCAAAAATCTAATCTCTGTTCGAAAGTTTACTAGTGATAAACAATATTTCAGTTGAATTTGATCCGTTTGGGTTTTCTGTGAAGGATTTGCAGACGGGGAGCCACCTAATGAGATGTGAGAACACCGGCAATCTCTATCCATTCACCAAACTTCGGGCCACACCACTTTCAAATTCACCTTCAGCTTTTACGGTCATCTCTTCCGACCTATGGCATTCACGCTTAGGCCATCCGGGAAAGGCTATTTTAAATTCTCTTCGTAGTCATCTCTTCCGACCTATGGCATTCACGCTTAGGCCATCCGGGAAAGGCTATTTTAAATTCTCTTCGTAGTAGCAATTTCATCTCATGTAATAAAGCCCGAAGTACTTTTTGCAATTGTTGTCCTCTTGGGAAACTCATTAAGTTGCCTTTCATTAATTCATGTTCCTTTACAACTATGCCTTTTGATATTGTTCACAGTGATTTATGGACCTCACCCGTCTTGAGCTCCTCCGGCCACTGTTACTATGCTTTCTTTCTTGATGATTATAGCAATTTCTTATGGACATTTCCTATCTCGAATAAGTCGCAAGTCCATTCGATCTTCTTAGCTTTTAGAGCGTACATTAAAACCCAATTTGAGAGAGAAATCAAGCAATTTCAATGCGATAATGGTCGTGAGTATGATAATGGTCCCTTTCAAAAATTCTGTGAATTAAATGGCATGCACTTCCGTTTCTTTTGCCCTCATACATCTTCCCAAAATGGAAAAGCAAAACGAAAAATAAAGTCAATTAATAACATCGTCTGCACCTTGCTTGCCCATTTCTCTATGTCACCCTCCTTTTGGCATCATGCACTTGCTATGGCAACTTACCTTCTCAACATTCTTCCCTCAAAGCTACTCAATTACTCCTCTCCTACTCAAATCCTTTATCATAAAACTCCTACCTATTCTCACCTCCGGGTCTTTGGGTGTTTATGTTATCCTTTATTTTCCTCCACCACAATACATAAATTGCAAGCCCGCTCTACACCTTGTGTATTTTTAGGCTATCCATCGAATCACAGAGGATATAAATGCTATGACTTATCGAATAGGAAAATCATTATTTTCCGGCATGTAATATTTGATGAAACCCAATTTCCTTTTTTGAAAGTTCATACACCCTCATCCACCTCCTATGAATTTCTGGAAAATGGCCTCCATCCTCTTATTCTACATCAATTGCATGCCCCTACCACACCATCTGGCCCAATCTCTCCATCTGGGCCCCCCCAGCCGAGCCCAACCGGTGCTCCCATAACAGCTCCTGATCTGCTCACGCTGCATCCCCCTCCTCTCCTATTGGGTCCCTGCCACACAGTCCGCCCAACTCCCCTACTGGGCCCGTGGCAGCCAGTCCGCCCAACTCCTCTATCCAACCCACTCCCCTCTCATCCATCTCACCTCACCAGACCAGCAGCCCAGCTTATGTTCCTCCACACAAAAGATCTGGGCCTGCTCTCCCATTACATAATACCATCAGCCCAATTGCCCAGCCTGCTCCTCCAGTCCAGCGAATGGCTACCCGCAGTCAGCACGGTATTACGAAACCAAACCGTAAATACCTTAATCTAAGTGCTACCACCCCCCTACCTCCATTTCTCCCATTCCTAAAAATCCAGTGAGTGCAATTAATGACCCAAATTGGAAGTTAGCCATGCAAGATGAAATTGATGCTCTAATTACAAATAAGACGTGTGAACTAGTACCTCGTCCATTAGATGTTAATGTTATTCGCTCTATGTGGATTTTTAGACATAAAAAGAAATCTGATGGTTCTTTTGAGCGGCATAAAACCCGTCTTGTAGGTGATGACAGGTCTCAACAAGCTGGAGTTGACTGTGATGAGACATTCAGCCCGGTTATCAAACCGGCCACTATTCGGACTGTACTAAGTATTGCTTTGTCCAAGTCTTGGCTCATTCATCAGTTGGATGTTAAAAATGCATTCTTGCATGGGCATCTGAATGAGACAGTTTACATGCATCAACTCATTGGCTTCAAGGATGACACTCGTCCTAATCATGTCTGTTTATTGAAGAAATCATTTTATGGCCTCAAACAAGCCCCACGGGCATGGTATCAATGGTTTGCGGATTATGTGGCCACTATTGGTTTCTCTCACAGTGCATCTGATCATTCTTTGTTTATCTATAAACATGGTCCTAACATTGCTTACATTTTATTATATATTGATGACATTATTCTCACGGCTTCTTCAGATGCTCTACGATTATCCTTAATGTCTTTGCTTAGCTCCGAGTTCGCAATGAAAGACTTGGGACACTTGAGTTATTTCCTTGGTATTGCAGTCACTCGAAATGCCCATGGTCTTTTTCTTTCACAAACAAATTATGCAACGGAGATACTTGAAAGAGCAGGCATGTCAAGTTGCAAACCATGTCCTACCCCTGTGGACACAAAAGGGAAACTTAGTACTTCAACCGGCACCACTTATGAGGACCCGACTAAGTACCGTCGCCTAGCGGGAGCTTTACAATACCTCACTTTCACTAGGCCCGACATCTCTTATGCAGTTCAACAGGTATGCTTACACATGCACGATCCGAAAGTCGAGCACATGGATGCTCTCAAGCGTATTCTACGCTATGTCCAAGGTACGATACACTTCGGTTTACATTTGTATAAGTCCTCCCTTGATTCTCTCATCTCTTATACGGATGCTGACTGGGGTGGATGCCTTGATACTCGACGTTCCACCTCGGGTTACTGTGTTTTTCTCTGTGACAATCTGATTTCTTGGTCGTCTAAACGACAACCTACACTATCAAAATCTAGTGCCGAAGCTGAATATCGAGGGGTTGCCAATGTTGTTTCTGAATCTTGTTGGATCCGTAACTTATTACTCGAGCTGCATCTTCCGGTCCACAAGGCAACCCTTGTCTATTGTGATAATGTGAGAGCGATTTACCTCTCCGGAAATCCAGTCCAACATCAACGCACTAAGCACATTGAGATGGACATCCACTTTGTTCGTGAAAAAGTGAAACGTGGAGAAGTGCGTGTCCTTCATGTTCCGTTTCGATATCAGATTGCAGACATCTTCACCAAAGGCATTCCGTGCGTACTATTTGATGATTTTCAGGACAGTCTCAGCGTCCGGCCACCTCCCGCTTCGACTGCGGGGGTGTAATAGAATATATGTAATTATTCTTGTGATATTGTAAATCGGTTATATTTGGTGTATATCGTCTATATTAGGTTAGCCAAATATTAGGTTATGTAAGTCAAAGATTATCCTAGATTATAGCCATAACCGTAGCATAGTACTGCTGTATATAATGCCCTTTGATCAATCAATACAATCAAGCGATTATCTTCTAATAGAAATTACGTTAATAATTTCAAAAAAGCCATTTTTTTACGAACTTTATATGTCAGCTATTAAAGGTTGAAAATTAAAAAGAGATATGGTAAATTCTATAACGCCTATCCTATAAAACAAAATGCACAAGTCCGCATGGACGCTTAGAGTATAGACTTATTCATCCACCAATAGACATAGCAACCAATCAAAAAAAAAAATTGTTGAAAGAAAAAGAAAGAACCTTGAGTGTACAAAACAACCTTATTCACATACAAAATGAGACAAAGTGTTCGTCATGTCATCAATAAGGGGGGGGCTCTTAGTTGATGACGTGGCAAAAGCCTGGTCTCTTTTTTGAATATAAATATGAACATGATTGTTTTTAATAATAGTTAAATTTGGATTTTGTATTTTTTGAAAAAATTGTCAGCGATACACTAATAATAAGAATAACAACAACAAATTTGTTTTGTCATAATAATAACGGGTATATTAGATTGTAAAATTTCCCGTTGTAAAAATTAAATAATAGCAAACAACAAGCAACAGTTGTTTGCAAAACAATATTTAGAAAAGCTTCCATTTTCCCCCCTTATTTCCTCCTAAATAACACATCAAAAATAAACAATACTCGGTCAAAAGCACTAGTTTGACAAATTCTTGTTCCAACTAAACCACCGCAAAAATAAAGTATTCTTGAACTTATCAGCAAAAACTAATAAATAAATAGATAAGTCAAACCTTGCCAGCCTCATTGATCTGGCGACGACCGAGCATCCGATTGCCAGGATTCCTCTCCACCGACATTCTAAAAATCACCCAAAAAAAAGGAAAAGGTTAAAAAAAACTTTGAATTCGTTTACGTAATTATACAAATAGTAAGGGACTTAATTGCAAAAAAAAGAGTTCACCGGAAGACATCCCAGCAGCTTTCGAGACCGGGGATTGGCGGTGGGAAGCCGTCCTTCGCGAAGACGCTGCGGTAAACCGGACCGGCGGAGGGGATACCGTTAACCGGCGCCCTCTCGCCCTCCACCTCAACGAGGTAATTCATCTCTCTTTCTCTCTCTCTCTCTCTCTAAATTTTGATATTTTTTATTTAATCGTGTAAATAAGTAAAATAAAACAGAAGGTGAGGGGGGGCCAGGAAAGATTTCCTCCGGAGGTTTAGTTATGATGGGATTTTGAGTTAGTTGGGATGGTTTTTGTTGGGGTCTGGGTTTTCAAAGCCTTGGACTTTTTCTATTTTTGAGGAGGAGAGAGAAACTTCGAAGGGAAGATCTTTGGTGATTTTAATAGCAGTGAAGATTTTGGATTTGCTGCGAGTTTGATTCTCAAATTTATAGCCGTCGTCTAGGAGTGGGGCCCCTCACGTGCTGTGCGCACGGTTTCATTTTTCATTCCTTTGTTGTTTAATGTTTGCAAATTTGATCTAAAAAAAGTTGGATTTTTACAATTGACTAATATAATTAATGGATCTTTTTTTTTCTTTTCCCTTTTACTTTTTCATGCTACGTTATGGAGTTTGAATTAGGATCTCCTTAGAGAAAAGGATTGCAATTATATATCATTAATAAAAAGGATACTAAGAAAAATTGTATATGTTATTATTTTGTATTTCAACTCGACTGCTTTTCTTTGTTCTGAGTTCGTCTCATATTTATGTCTTTAGAAAATACATTATGTCCTTGGGAAACACGTGAAGAATGTTCGTCTCGTATTTATGTCTTTAGAAAATACATTATGTCCTTAGGGAACATGTGAAGAAAATTCTTTTGTTATCGATACTGATATATAAAGTCAAAAGTAAAGATAAGGAAATTTTAAGAGGAAAGCAAACACCCAGAAAATCTGAGGAGGTTAAAACGACAATTTATAATGATACATAAAGGCAAAAGTTGGGGTTAGGGGAAATTTTTGGGGCTTTGACACAATTTTAACTTAATATAGAAAATGTCCTCTATAATGATATATAAAGGCAAAAGTTGGGGATAGGGAAATTTTTGGAGGAAACACAAAGAAAACTGAAGGTTAAATGGATATAATGATATATAGTATATATATATATATTATTATATATATGATAATATAGTATATATTATATTAATGATATATATATATATATATATTTAATATATATATATATAGAGAGAGAGAGGAGGAGAGAGAGGGACATATGGGTTATATTTGGGCAAGGATCTTGGTGAGTGATGACCATCTTGTCGCATACATACACGCTTCGAATGTGTTGGTGGCTCCATCTTCAAGGTGGTGATGTACTGGACAAAGATGTGTCGCATATCAGCTAACGCACGATGCCTTGGTAGCCAAGTTACCCAATTGTTTCATATATATAAATATGATATAATATATATATATATATAATAATATATATATAACTATATATATATAATGGCGATGACGGTCTAAATAAAAACCTAAGAGGAACTAAAAACCAATTCTATACCCAACATTCTATTTTCATCATGGCCTAGATTTAGAGGATGACAGAATTGTAAGATATAGACAAATTTAATTACACCGCAATTAATTGATAAAGGGTAAAATATGAACCAAATATCATTGCCATTAATGTGACTGATTACAATTGAACCATGATACAAAATTAATAACGTCTTATAATACTCTCCTTACATTAATAGTGCTTACAGTTCTTAATACTCTCGTCTCTATAAGCACTCTGCGATCTCGTAATCTCACATGAAGAACACAAAACGAAAAATGCATCTGGGATTCCTGAAATTGTCTTCAAAATCCAGAATTCAACTCACGTTGGGAATGAATTCACCCTCCAAATACGATTTGCTGCTCCACTGTATTTGTGAATCAATTCTAACCAATCCAAAGCAGGAATACAGAAACTATAGGTAAAAACAAGGCTATAAAAATTATAACCATGAAAAATTTTCAATTTCAAGAACCTTTTACATGCAAAAAAGTTATGATTTTTATGGTAAAAAGCAAACACTCGCATAATTGAATCTGCGATTCACTGCAGTGAATCGAGTATTCACTGGAAGTGAATCTAGATCACTCATACGTTTATTAGAAGTAAAAACAGCTGGATTCACTAGCATTGAAACGAGAACATTGCAGTGATCCGAAGGATTACCCAAAGAGCACTGCAAGTGAATGCGAGATTCCTCCAAAAAATGCATTTCATAGACGTGTTTGATGATTTTGAAGCGAAAAGTTTACCAATTTTATATGGTAAAAACAAAACAAAACTCACATAACTAGAAATCTGGGATTCACTGCAGGTGATTCAATTCTTAGGACAGAAAAGTCGGGATTCACTGCAGTGAATTCGATTCACTGCATGTGAATTCAATTATTTAGGACAGCAACTAAACAAAACCCACAACATAAAATTCTGAACTTTAACAATTTTAACAAAAAAAACTAACAGGATTGCAGATTTCTAAAATATTTGTAATAGAAACCCTAAAAAAGATTGCAAGAATTATTGAGAGATTATCGGCAACAAAACAAACAACCAGATCGAGTATAAGAGACGCCAAGCTAAACAAATACCTAGAACACAAGATCGCACTTCAAACAATTAACCTAAAAGACACCAAATCAAAATTGAAATTAACAGAAAAAGGCGGTGACGAAACCGAGGGGGTAGGCTCGAGCTTGAAGGGAATCTTGTTTCCATGGATCCCGTCTACGTATCATACCCAATGACATGACAAGAACAAACCCTAAAATAACAAAAAAATGAAATCGAAGATCAAAAGAAAATAACGACCTACCAAGAATAAATCAACTTAGAATATAACCTACAAGAAAATATAAACCTACCACAGAAATACGCTACACAAGAGAGAGGGGGCTGGTTTCAAGCTTTTGGGAATGGAGGAGAGAGAGAGAAGAGGAGCAACGTGAGAGGAGAGGTTGGAATGGGAAAATGGAGAACATCATAGAACATTAATTACCTCTCGTTTAAGTGGCTGTTTATTTTAACCTAATTACCTTATTGCAAATAAAGCTTTAATCTCACATTGATGAATCTAGTCAATGGAGAGAGATTAGTTTTAGTTGTTTTAGGGATAGTGGGATTTTGGTATTTGACCTCTGCCCTATTATTATCTTATATATATTACTATATATTTATATATATATATCTATATATTAGTACTATTAATTAGAAAACTGGGAGCCTGGGGCCAGCGCTTCCCCGCGGTGAGCTGCAGGGGATTTGTAAAAGTGCATGAATCTTTTATAAAAAAGTAATCTCTCTCTCGTGACCCAACCCCCTTCACATCCCTCAAAATCAGCGTTCTCTCCTTCCCCCAAAATTTTCGATCTCTCTCCCCCCTCCAAGAGCCTTCCTCCTCCAGCGTTCTCTCTTTCCCCCAAAATTTCCGATCTCTCTCTCCCCCCATGCCCCATCAACCCCTCTCCACCTTCCTCCATCTCCCCCGACGACCAGCTGGTCTGCTCCTACCTCCTCACCTCTCACATCCATCAGCGGAGGACCAACAAAAATCAGGATCAGAACCAAAACCACGACAATCAGGACCAGCCGCTGGACTTGGGCTGCTCCTGCTTCATCTGCTACAAGAGCTTCTGGGCCCGCTGGGACTCCTTGCCCAACCGCCACATCATCCACACGATCCTCGACGCCTTTGAAGAAGAGGAGACAGCCTTGAGATGCTCAAAGAAGGACGGCAGAGGAAAAAGCAAGAAGAAGGCGATGAAGATGAAGAAGAAAGAGGAGGAGGAGGAGGAGGCTGTTGTGGTTGGTCAAGAGATCGATCACGCCCATCACGAGAATGATGATGGCCATGGAGATGGGGAAGAGGAGGGAGATGAGAAAAGCTCCGTGAGGGAATTTTTTTGGTTTCTAAAAGAGATTACTAAAGGCAATTCAAACCAAATCATCAACATAACGAGTTCTAACTATTACAACCAAAACTCAATGGTTTCTCAATGGGCATTTAATTCTACAGTCAATGTTTTGATGCAGAGAGCAAGACCTGGTTTGTGAAGAGAAGGCGTGTACAACACCTTTCAGTTTCTTTTAGCAAGACCTGTTGCATTTCTAAAATTTATTGGCTTCTGATGTAATTTTTTGGCTTCAATTGTTATGTATTGGCTTCTGATGTAATTTATTGGCTTCTGATGGGGAAGAGGAGGGAGATGTAATTTATTAGCTTGTGATGTAATTTATTGGCTTCGGTTGTTATGTTGTTACGTGTTGTTATCTATCAACAACATGCACTTCTCCTAACGGAGATTTGATCAGAGTTACTTATAAAGTTTCAATCTCATTGAGAATGATAAAGAAAGTTAGTCTAAGTGAGAACGTGAATAAGTCTAACCAAAAGTATGTGCAGATTGTGACTAACCAAAAGTATGTGCAGATTGTGACAGTTGATGATTTTGAGTTTTGGTTTATGGGGTTTGTGAGTTATCAGAGGTCTTTCAGGTATTTGCAATAAGTAATCTCAGGAACAGGAATGAGCTCCTAGCATCAATAGGAGAAGTTGGAAAAACCTGCACATTAACATTTTGTCATTGTAAATTAGAGCGTCGGTTCAATACCATCGTTGAACAAGGATTGTCTGTTTTTGTATCTATCCTTCTGTACAATGAGATGGTGATATACTACTACTTGTAATATATCATGTAAAGTAATATTGTATCCTGTGGGTCAATCTCAGCCTCTGTTAATGTGGCAACAGTCAGTCGTATATTAAGCGTTTCTTCCTTTCTTTACAATATAGAACCTACAACCAATATAAAACACTGTAAAGGGAAGGATAATAAAGGAGTTCAGTTCATCCTTCTTCATTGGCACATACGTGCACCTCCATTACAATAGTATGATATCAGTGAATATTACATATATGATCACATAAGACCACTGCTCAACAAAATCCCCACATCAAACTATGGTCTTATACACAAAATACACAAACCACATAATATTACATAAATGATCACACAAGTTGATATTTGATCACATTACAAATATGTTAATCTCAGAAACATTATAATCTCCAACTCCACAGCAACAGCTTGCACATGCCTTCTTCTTGTGTAGCTCCTCAATCTTTTTCTCTGCAGCAAGAGACTAGTAACAGTTAATACATAGACCTTGACACCAATTAGGGGTGAAATAAGGCGTTTATGCTTTACAATATTTTGCTTGCACAGGCCTAAATTTCTTATTTCTTATTGCTCAATCAGCTTCAGCAACTCCTTTGTTCTATTGGTAATTTGCGTCATATGTTTGCATTACCTGGTATATGGTATATAAGTGG